CAACGAAGCCCTTTCGCAGTCTGCCCTTATCAAAGATCAGATTGCGAGACACCAGGGAAGCTCTCCGACTCCGATTTTAGCTGCTGTTGACCAGCTTTCGAAGGGAATGCAAGCAGTTTCTCATCGGGTCACCCTTTTGGAGGCCGAGGTACGGACACTTCAGGAGGCCAACGAAGCACTCTCAAAGCGCCACAGAGCCAAACGGACGCGTCTCCAAGATGGCGGGGCTATCAATGGAAGCCAAGCTAGGGAAAAAATGGCAGAGAAAGGTATGGTGGACGAGGAAGAGCGCGTTGAGGAGGAAATTGAAGGACCATCAAAGAGGCGTCGGACGGATTTACGGCTCTGTGGCATCTGCCGCAAGACTGGCCATAATGCAAGGACATGCTCGGAGGCTGGAGAAATAGATAGCTCAAGCGATTCTGAGTAGTTTCAATTGATTGCATCAGTCTGGTGAACTTTTGGCAGTTTGTAGTGGCATAGTCTGGAAAATGTGTCCGACTCAATGGGGTGTCCGAGTCAATGGTGAATCACGTTATATTCTATATACATCTATAATGAGTCTAGCAAGTATAAGCCTTTCAGTTGCTCTCTCTATACCTATCTTTTTCTTATAAGCTTTTCAGAATAGCCTATAGTTAAAAGTTAGACCCTAAGGAATCTAGCCAACTTAGTAAGGGCTAGCTCTAGCGTCACAAACCAACTATATACAGGCCCGGTCGGGCACGAGACACAACACCGGAGCCAATCATTCTCTCAAGGAAGCTGCAGGCACCCGCACGAGGCTCACACGGTAGCCGTAGCGGCCGGGCAATGAAGGGTAGATTTGGGTAGCTGGCTACCTAAGGCGATCCAGGAGAGCTCTCGGTAGACTACGATCATGGGCGATGATGAAAACTCTACAGTATATAGTCACTCATTCTGGAGGGCGCCGGAAGTCGTCTAATAAGCAATATAAGCAGTTAGCTACATTTACCGTTGAGACATTTGCTTGTGCACTTGTCGTCAACCTTTTGGCTTCACCGAACCTCACCTCCTCATCAAGTTATAAGCTTCAGGACTCCCTTTCACAAGTTGAGGCTTCGAGATTCGTCACACCTAGTCGCTCGTATCCTGATCAATCAAATTTGTCGCTAATAGGCGCTACATATATCAAAAGTAGATAAGCTCGTTCTTTATACGCTCGAATTATATACTTATCTTAGAAGAGGCCTGGAAGACCTGTTTATAGTGAGCCGAGTCTAGAGGGATGGTCTCTGACCAATGAAAGAGCGAGCTGATCCACCTAAACAAAGGCCGAAGGCAATGGCCAAACCTAGTGAACCTGGCCCACCTTAGGGCCAAAGCTTCGACGCTATACAGCCTATACCTTCTAGCCGGTTCCTTAGAGTCTAGCTAAATTGGACAGCTCACAGGGAAGCTGTTGAACGAAAGCTGAAAACATAGGACTTTGCACCACTAGAATAGCTGCTAAGATCTGGGGCCCAGCCCTGGCCAAGGCCAGGGAGGTCTATACTAGGTGCATTCGCAGTGCCCTAGCCTACGGAGCTTCAAGCTTCACCGGCCTATCCCATTGAAGGCCAGCCACGGGGCATTGCAAAAGACCTGCAGAAGCCCTAGGATAGGAGCCTAAGAATAGTGGCCGGGGCCTATAAGGCCACCCCAGCCCGACACTTTGACGCTGAAACGTAGGTTCCTCCACTGGACCTTTATTTGGACAAGAGACTAGCCGACTTTGAAGACAGGCTCCACAAGCCTACTCTCCTAACTACTCAGTCTTCCCAGCCGACAATAAGGCCTGCAAGTGGGCCTGCAACAAGGCCTCTTCCAAGATACCGGCCTCCTAGCCTGCTAGTCGAGGAGGCCTGTAACAAGATCTGCAACCGCTTCCACGGACTATCAAGAGCCAGAGGGTCAATGCAACCTCTAGCAATTGAAGAAGCTACAGAGGCTATTGCAGCCTGGAGAGCCCAAGGCAAATACTCTACGGAGGCTCTCTCGATAAGGCCTGGAAGGCTAGGTAGGCCCAGGAGGCCACCGATCGACTATACGGTATAGGACCCGGAACCAGGCCCTACCCACCGTACAACCGGCCGACCACCGGCCAAAAACTTGACAAAGGGCACTAGAAAGGCACGAGGGCCTTACAAAGGCCGAGAGCTCCCTACTAACCCAGGCTCGGACCGGGGCTATAGGCCTCAAAGGCTTCCTCTTCCGGGCCAGGGTCTCTCGAATACCTACCCCCTACTGCGAACACGGCCAGGGCAGGGGAACAGTAGAACACTTAGCTGTGTGGTGCCCCAACCACCGAAGCCAAGGACCTGGCCGGCTATAGAGATACGCTCGCAGAGAGACTTATATAGGGTTCTCGACGAGTGGGGAAACAAAGAGAGAAGGCTGCAAGGAAGGTGATTAGGTAGCTACTATGCTCTGGGAGACTCCTAGAGTATAGACTAGCTGTATGGCTACAACTAGGCTAGTTCGATAGTCTAGTTAGCTATCTGTGCCTTTCTTTTCGCTATAGTGGGTGGATTCAGGACTTTCAGACTAGTATAGAGGAGACAGAGGTTCTCAGTCCAGCCTTGCAGGCATGGTTTTCCTTTGAAATTAGTAGTAGAGGGTCTAGCGAGCCCTAGGGCATAGCGGTGTAGGATGATAATAAATATATAACGTGTATGATAAGCGAGTCGGCATGATATTTAAGTTAGACAACTCTCTTCCGGACCATAACAACTATCCTTAATTGCAACATAATGACACTAAGAACCAACTGCAGTTACATCAGAAACAATTGATCAGATGCTTCCGCAGCCTCCTGGCAAGTATGGGCATTATGGCCAAGCATGCCCCATGCACCACAGCGCTGAGCCTTCGTACGGCCCTCCCCTGCACCACTACCACCCGGCTGCGCTTCTTGCACTCCCTCATCACCCACGCCATTCTGGCCCAATAGATTCTTTGCATCTTGCACTACAAGTGATACTCCAAGCTTACGCGTGTTCTCTAGGCTCTCCGGCGCTTTACTTAACGCCTCGTTGGCCTTACGGAGCGAAGAAACCTCTGACCGAAGATGAGCCACCTCGTGCATCATAGCCATCGTACCCTTGGTAAGCTGGTCCACAGCAGCCAACATCGAAGTTGAGGAGCTATTCTGATGGTTGGCGATGCGAGTCTTAATGAGTGTTGACTGCGCGTTGGCTTTCCGGGGGTTGTATGGTATCTGTAAGACCCAAAGTGGTAGAGTGCCGGCGCGGGAGTTCAGAGGTGTTGGTGTACGAAGCTTTACATCCAGCTTAGAAAGCATCCTCTCTGGGTCATACGGCACAAGGCCAGCACCTGCAAAGCCACCGCGTATATTTTTCTCCGTCATAGAGGCAAAGAAGGCCTTGTGGAAGGCACAGAGGAACTCGAGCTTGCTCACGCAGTTGATATGCATACGCATCAAGTGCTCGATCTGGCGGCCGTACGCCTGCTTCAGTGGCCCAAAGTAGCCGACATCGAGTGGCTAGAGGTAGTGCGAGGAATGTAGAGGCATACACACTGTAAGGATAAGTCGAACACGCCCTATTCGGACCACCCCCCATTCACACCACTTGGCAAACCCATACCGCTTTTTCAACCCAACCTCTTCAAGTTACCATAACTTAGTCAATTCTTAGCCAAACGAACTTATTTTTTAAAACTATATTACCGTCAGTTTCAGATGGCTTATACTAAACAGGATTTGCAAGATGCGATTGCGGAATGCTACCAAGGTAGTCGTTCGATACGAAGTATCAGCCGTGAGTTCGGTATCTCAAAGACTACCCTCCAAAGCCGACTTCACGGTCAACAAACCTATTTAACTACGGCCGAACCGCAATAGACCCTTAGTCGGGTATAGGAAGATCATCTTGCTCGATGGGTCTTGACCGAGGCTGCCCTCGGTGTTCCACCAACCTATGCCCAGATTAGAGAGTTCGCCAGCCGAATTCTATAGGCACAGGGAGCCACCCGTACGACTGTCGGGAAGGGCTGGATGACGCGGTTTCTTCGCAGGAACCCGGTACTCCTAACCCAGAGAGGCCGTAAGATCGACTCAGCCCGGGTCATAGCGCCACTGACCCGGTTATCCGCAGCTGCTTTCCACTCCTGAATATCCCAGCCATCAAGGACATCTTGCCCGCCAACCGCTACAACTTTGACGAATTTGGCCTTATAGAAGGCCAGGGAACCAACGGCTTGGTAGCTGGAAATGCTCGTACACGCGCAATACAAAGGAAGGTCCCTGGTTCGCGCGCCTAGACCTCCTTCTTAGAGTATGTCTCTGCGACAGGGGCAGCACTCCCACCAGCTGTCATTTCGAGGGGCAAGAGCGTTCAACAACAGTGGTTCCCTATCGCCAAGGATGAATTGAAGGATTGGCTATTCACTGCAACCGACAAAGGCTAGGTGAATAGGGCGGTTGCGTTGGAATGGCTTCAACGGGTCTTCATCCCTCGGACCCAGCCGCAGGATCCTTCCCAGAGGCGGCTGTTGATACTGGACGGTCATAACAGCCATACAAGCAATGAATTCATGTGGGAGTGCTTCAGCAACAATATCCAGTTGCTCTTTTTACCAGCTCATACCTCCCACGTTCTCCAGCCATTGGATTTATCAGTCTTCTCCCCGCTGAAGCACACCTACCGCAAGCTCCTCAACCAAATGACCAGCTGGTCTAAATCAACGGTCTTAGGCAAGCAGATGATGTTGAAGTGCCTTATGACGGCCCGTCGGGAGGCAATCACGGCTCATAATATCAAAGCCGGGTGGAGGGCAGCTGGGTTATGACCCGTCAGTATGGCCAACCCTCTAATGAGCCGTCTCTTGCTCAAGAATTCGAGCCAGGGACCCGGCATTGATGATCAATACTTCTACCACAGACTCCAGTATTCAGGTCAACTAGCCAGTCCATTACTATGGCTAAGGATCTCGAATTCACGACTCCACGGAAGAAGACAGACTTTCGGGGCCACCTAAACAACTTGGTCATCCGACGACAAGATATCTCTACCCGGTGGCTCTTGTTCAAGAAGGTTGAAAAGGCTTGACGAGAAGGAATTTGAATTGGCTCGGCTACGACAAGAAACGAATGTCACGGGTGGGCGCAACTGACCACTGCGTAACACCCTCAAAAGAGGGACCGTGGTTCGAACTGTCCAGTCGAACCAGGAGTTGCGCACATGAACCTCACACTGTCACTACCCGTGACAACGAAGCTCTGAAGGCCCAATTGGAGGCAGCCCGGCCGTTGCGAAGGAAGAGGGTGGTCCCTGATCCCACCAGGCTCAAATTGATGCGGGCCGTATAGAGGACTCTGTAGTTGAAGAGAGCGGGTCAGAAAGTGCAGAATCGGATGCTTCTTGTATTGTGTTGGGTTAAGGACTATTTAGAGAATGAAAAGGATTATAAATATTAGGGACCCTTACAGTATTCCTTATATGAGCTAATCCTCTTGTATCTTCTGTCATTAAAGACTAAATAAGCTGTTCTCCCTTTACAGTAGCTACGTAGGAGCAGTATAGGCTTTCTCTCGAAGCCTAGACCACGGAGCATATATAACAGCCAGGTTTAGTTATTCTAGTTGAAGGCTCCTGTCAAGTCTAATTATAGCAACGAGACGTAGGCGCCGCTTCTCTACGCTATATATCCCACATTAGTTACTACCTTGATCGCTATTTCTGTTGACTGCCCTTAGAGAAAGCCTATCTACATCTCAGGAACGATGTAATGTGTCTTCGGTGCATGGAAAATACACTTACCCAGCGCTACCTTAATTACCTTGCCTACCGAGCTAAGTAGCTAGATAGGCCTATAGGCGCTAGCCTCCTTTTATTGCTCGATTGTCTTCCTAGGCTTATATGAGACAACTACCAATGCCGTTTAGAAGCGGCATAGGTAGTGGTTTAGCGTGAAGTAGGCGTTTATGATATTGCGAATACCCTTGCTAGGGCTCTCCCATTATACGCCTAGAGGAAGGTTTTAACAATATGTTCTCCTAAGGGGCCTTACTTGCTCTTACATTGCTTGAAATATCCTCCTTCCTTAAACTCTAGTCTAGGCTATCTGACTAAGCTATAGAAGGATCCTCCGGGCTAGTCTTTGATAAGGATAGCGATAATCGACGCTACTATCTTTGGGACGAAGCGCTTGCTTAACGCTCTCGCCTTGTTTCTATAGCTAGCTGCTATCTAGGGTTCTCCTAGTGTTATATTATACCTACGCGGCTCCCTCCCTACGAATCTCTATAGTAGCGAGTGCCAATCGCTTTCACAATTACAGTAGGTAAGTAAATTGATCAGATCGTTGGTAGTCCCCTAGCTCCCGTATTTATAGTTACGGCCACCTAGTCCTCTAGCCTATACTATCCAGGCTGCTCTTTCAATAGGCTTATCTATATATTTATTATTCCTACGCCGCTGTGCCCTAGGGCGTGCCGGACCTTCAACAACTTACTATACAGGAAAACCGCGCCCTCGTGGGCCGGGTGAAAAACCCATATCGACAATGAAGGAAACGGTCAGTGTGCGATCCTGCAAATACAAAATGGGAAGGCCTCTTGGCCTTCGAAGGAAAGGGTATCAGACTGCGAGCTCCAGCTCCAGCCTCCTGGCCAGACCGTACATCGGCAGTTTCCCCGAGTCCATCAGCCAGTCCAGGATCCTC